TCACCCTGTAAAACTTCCAGTATTGCCTGGCCTTTCTATAATTGCGCTCAAGTTTAAAAAGAAAAGAAATGTTCTTTCTTATTAAGGCCCTTACCGGAGCACTTAATAATAATAAAATTTGTATATGAGAAATGAAGTCGGATGTTTTTTTTGCTTACTGCTTATTTTATTACTACCTCTGTGAAATCACATTGCACTTTGGCCAATTACAAATAACACCTTTTTAATCATTCAAAGAACGTTTCTCACTAAACCTTTATTGGACAGCGATACATTGTATTCAATTTATTGATATCACTGTTGCTCATGCCCCGTCGTTGACCTATTACAGCCCCTTCATTTTTCAATGGTATAATAGTTTTTTCACCATTCACTGAGAATGCATATTCGTGATAGTGTAATATACTTCCGTAGTCGTATTCCTCCTCGTAATCATCTATATAGTCCTCGTCATATTTCTCGAAATTAAACTCCATACCCTCTTGTATGTTGTCGAAATCGATACGTACGTATTCATCACGATTGGCAGCGCTCTGCATGTGAAAGAAGCCAAGTGTATGCAGGAATTCATGTACAATTGTGCCGAGACGGAAGCAGCCCGTATCAAGAGGATAATGTTGAAGATTATAATATTGAATGCCATTCAACCAACCAATGCTTGAGTAGCAACCGCCATCATTGCCAGTGATGTTGACGTAATATGTCTGCTCTGTTGTGGCTTCTTGAAAGCGTATACACGAAAGGCTTTCTAAGATTTCAATGCCTCGTAGGATATGATTCCTATGCTCCTCATCTAAAAGCAATATTAAATAATCACTATTTAATTTCACTTTACAAAACAAAAAAAAAAGGTTACTAATTTCTACCGAAAAACCCATCGTTGATCTTGTAGTATACGGTATTATTTGGCCAGCGTAGAGTTTCGTTACGTACTCCATTTCGTTGTGAAGGAGCTAATACAATATCCCCTTGAAAATAGCCGGCTATCAATTCGGGATCTTCCTCTATATTTTGAATCAATGGTGCAGATAAGCCAGATGTGGTTATTGCAAACAGTACAAAGGCAAGGAAGACCGTCATTATTTCTTTAAAATGTCTCTTTTGCTATTAAAGAAATATGTAAATAACTATCTGGACACACGCTTGTTAAACGTTTTTCAACCTTACTCCGATCAACCAATCGAAAATGTGTGCCTCGCAGACCTGATTAGTGAACTCATAAATAGTACATATCATGGTAATCGATTTATCAAGACGTGTTGATGTTGGAGCTCTATAAATTGTAATCAATTCAGTTTATTGCTTTTGGACTAAGTGTTGGGTTTAACGGTTGTTTGAGGCTTCGTCACAAACGATAATCATTGCCAGTGATGTTGACATAATGACGAGTAGCTATATTAGTCAAAATAAAGTCGACTCTAAAGTTAGTTACAAACTAAAAATTTATATTTTTAGCCGACTTCCAAAAAAGCAGGAGGTTATCAGTTCGTCGGAATATAAATATATATATTTTTTTTTTAATGTATGTTACCGCATAACTTTGGACCACGTCAACCGATTTCGATAATTCTAATTTTGCATTTGAAAGGTAGTGTCTCAGAGGTGGTCCCATACTAATCTGGTTAAGATCCGATCAGTGGATTATGACATATATATATATATATATTGTTAAAAGAAAATATTTTAATTTCATTTAATTTTTAGAAACTTCTTGTTTTTATTAAATTTTATTTTTTTTTTTTATTTTAGTAGTGTATTGTTTTTTTAATTTTTAGATGTTATTGTTTTAAAAAGATTTTTTTTGTTTAATTTTTTTTCTTTTTTAAGTTAAATTTTCTTTTAGTTTTTTGATATCATTGCTTGAGGAAGAAAAATATATATTTTTTTTTAATTTAATTTAATTTTCAGAAATTTATTTTATTTGGCATTTTTCTTTTAGTTTTTATTTATCGTTTCAAAACGAAAAATATATATATTTTTTATTAGAACTAAATTTTATAAAACTAATTGCTAAAATACCAACAGAATAATGCTAATACCGCCGCGTTAGCAGATCTTTCCATTCGTTTTTCGAAGGACAAAAAAAAAGCTTTCAGCGCAATATCCAGAATTGAAAGTAAGTAGACATTGTATAAGTAGCTCGTAAGTGTAGACATAGGGTAAGCATTGATATAGTAGTGTAATTAGCTCATAAGCGATAGATTGTATTCTGTCTAGACCTTAAGCAAAGTTATCGTTTTTGTACAAGAATATATCGAAGCGCACTCCATCTTAAAAATAAAATTACACAATTTTGCGAACCATAAAAGGAGCCATACGTGTTTTAAATTAATAATTGAAGAATTTAGACCACCTGACGCGGTTTCAGTATATCTTTCTTTAAGCTTACTAAGGGCCAGGTTTTCAGTGCCAGTTTAAACTTAGATTAAGTAAACTAAGTTTTTTAAATAACACGGCGTTTACAGGAGACAATTTTGCCAAGATATATGCAATACATTCACACTTTTTCACAAATCCATCCACACTTCCCTCATTGTCTTAGTCACTGGTTTTGATTTTTCGAAGACAGTAAATTGGAAAATTCGGCCACGTCTTGATTAATTTGAAAAAGCGGTAAGACAAAATCGCAAAAAATTGCATAATTATGAAAAGTGGTTTGTGTTTGAATATTTTAGTAAATAATATGAAATTCACGCCAAACTACACTAACGGCGGTTGTTGAAAAATATATTGTATTTATTATTTGTTTGGATTTGCCTTGCCTCAAATTGTCTTATGTAAACGCATCGTAAATTAGATTTATTCTGCACGCTTGTTTCGTGACGTCATCGCAAGCCCACCGGTCAATATTACATATCAGATAATTTGATTGTCTGTTTATCAACAATTGAGACGAGCCCACCAAGTGGTGCTTGAATCTGATTGGCTAAAGTCCAATTGGACTACAAACTTATATGTACATACTTACCCATATACAGGTATATACATATACTGTGCAGTACATACGTATGAAACTATCTGTTTGCCATTATCTGATGAATTTGGGTATTTTCAAGTCATTTTATATACATACTATAATTTACAATATTTTATGCAATTGATGAAAACTTCTCGGCCTTTTCACAACTACGAACTTGTTGAATTAGGTCATCGACTTTTCTGTCTTTTCTAATTTTACCTTTAAACACTGCAGAATGTTTATTTTCTTTGTATGCACATTTTTTCACTTCCAATGTAATGTTTATCTTATGTAAAACAAGCACAAGCGAATATTCTACGTTTATTATTAAATTAAAGAAGAGCCGAGCCCACTTTTTGCCTATTGGCAAGATTCAGTTGTCAAACCACATGTCACTACGTTGTCAAATGAAATACATCGCTGCGGCTGGCTGCGGCCGAGTTGCTCAGCTGTTTAACACGTTAGCGACCCTTAACTGCCATACCTAAACAAAAGCGTTGGGCGGTGCATTTTCTGAGCCCAGCAAACAAAAGTGACAACGCTATGTCAAATGCAGAGATAACACCAACAATAAGCATAGGTTTGTTTGTGTGAAACACGAAAATTACAGTTTCGCTGTTTTCTACCGCCAACTTTTCCAAACTCTCGGCGTTGGCGCCGCGTTATTTCCGTATGCTTCATACAAATTGTATGGGCATTAGAATTTTTTGACAGCCAGACAACGCTGACGCTTTTGTTTAGGTGTGGCAATAACAAACTTAGAAGATAAATTAAGGAGATCTTCACAAGAATGCATTGATAAATATATTGGTAAAAAGCGGCAAACTCAACAAACACTCAAGGGGTTATTGTTTGGAGTGATCTTAAATACTTGCAAAATCGAATAAAGTTTCCTTGATTCAAATTTCGAAGTGCACGTTAGCAAATCCTTTTCATTTTATACACCATGTGTTCTCAGTACTACCCTATTATTTGTTCTGTTTTCACTTTGGGTCACATAACTGTCAAACGTGTGCAAAAGTAGTTGAACATGGCGTCAAGAAAAATTTATTCGGCATAAAATCTGAAAAAGTTTTGCAATTAAAGTGAAATATAATATCAAAAATTGTAAATATAATTGTAAAAAGTGAAAATGATGGATAGTCCGCCTCCCCCACGTGGTAAGAAACTTGGCAAAACAACGTGCAACTCGTTTTCACTGCACATTGCGGGTTCGTGGCCATAGCATAACCCCATCGTAGCCGCCCTATGCAGTTCAATTAACATGAAAAGGTGTATGCACTAGTGTTACAACAAAATTTATTTGTATAGATTCCAGTCTACGGAACATAATCGACAAATTGGCTGAATTTGTTGCAAGAAATGGGCCTGAATTTGAAATGATCACCAAACAGAAACAACATGGTAATCCAAAATTTGATTTCCTCTATGGGGGCGAATTCGCTGGTTACTATCAGTACCGAGTGGCCGCCGAGCAAGCATGTAAGCCACCTATCATTTGTTTTAATTTGCGAACGGTTGCTTTGATAATTTACAAATCTTTATTTAGTATTTATTGCTAGTAATGAGTATCTAATTCATATAATTATCAGGAATATACGTAAATGTAAGTAAATAATGTGATATCTTGCAGTTCTCAAGCAACAAGGCACCATCCCGCAGTCATCCA